AAGAAGCATATTTCTAAGGAATTATATTATTTGATGGCTACTTCTTGCTGCTTTGCAAAGGTTCATGAATTTGACATTCACGCATGCAGTAATTGTAAGCAAATAATGACTGCCAAGTCAATGGCAATTGCTAGTATGTATAGGACTGAAAATAAAGGGAACTTTTATGTTAAGTTTGGGGATCCTTTATGAAAGAGTGAGAAGCTGTGAGCATTGGCAATGTATATTGGCAGAATTCCAACCTGTGCTTTCACTTGGAAATTCTTCTCTTTGCCCTGAATACTGAACTGTTGAATTTTGTGACTGATTGAGTTCCTTATTAGACAATAATGAATTCTAGTGGTTGAGAAGCAATTTGGGGCATATGACATTTGGAATGCTCTTTGTAATTCTTTGCATGAATAAAAAAGGATTTTCTTTTTTAAATTTTGTACTCTTGCTCATTGTTATTATTACTAAATTTCAAATACTTCCTGGTTACTAACGATGGCAAACAGTTCCATGTTACAAATAATTAAAGTGAGGTAACCTAGTTGTTGACAAATATTAGTTTTTTAAATTATAATACATTTATATTTACACATTTACTTTTTCTTAAGATTCCCTTGTTATGCCACGGCCAAACAAGAATCATCAGTGGATATTCAATAAGAACTGTTGCCCTCTTGTGGATGTAGTGATAGATCCTTACCTTGTATGTCATCTTCGACCACATCAGAAAGGAGGAATCATATTCCTTTACGAATGTGTGATGGGAATGAGGTAGGAAAATAAAGACTTCGTTTAGTGGTGAAGTTTATAGTTAACTTTACTAAAAGCCTTTGACTTTTGTCCTTGGCTCCTGAGAGATAATGTCAAAAACTTTGGAATTTTCCCAGTGATTCAAGTGTCTTTGTTGAGTGTTCTAGACCACACCTTCCTAACAGGTTATGCTAATGAGGAGACTCTTGGGTTTGGGTTGGCCAGGCCAGAAAGTCCCACTGTGTGATATCAGCTCAGCCTCAGGGGAGGTGGGAATCTGGTGGTTGAGTTCAGTAAATCATTCTTATGTAAGGAGCCCCAGTAAAGGCTTTAGAGAGGGAAGCTCCATGGGCTTCTTGGTTGGTGAAAGACATTGATGCTTGAGAGGGTACCCTTGGGAAGGCAGTGTGCCTTTTGGGAACTCTCCCAGACCTAGTTTTATTTGTCTCTTCATTTGTATCCTTTTTGCTATGATAAAACTGTAATAAGTATAGCACATTCCTGGGAGCTGAGAGTCACTCTAATGAATTATTGAACCCAAGGGAGTAGTAGGAGTCACTAGATCAGTAAAGGGGAGCTGGGTACCTCTGAGCTTATGTCTAGCACTCTGAGGGGATAGCCAGCAAGTCAGAAGTGAGGGTGTTGTAGGAAACCCCGGGCTTATGGCTGGTGTTTGAAATCTTAGTCAGACTTGGCAGTCTGGAGAAATGTGCTCTTAATTTGTGAGATCTGACCTATCTCTGGAGGTTTGAGTCAGAGGCAGTAGTACTACATCTACAGTTAATGTCAAAATTGAAGTGGAACTATATGAATTAATTAGAATTGGAATTTGATTGAGTCCCTAACAATTAATCTAATCTGTGTTTTGATTTAATTGGTAACACTAATGGTTTTCTAGAAAGAGCCTGCTATAAATTTTAGAGGAGCTCTGGTAGCATAGTGCCTAAGGCACTTGACTGCTAACCAGACGGCTGGAGGTTCAAACACACCAGCCACTCCTTGGAAGGAAAGTGGGGCAATCTACTTCCGTAGTGATAGTGCCTCGGAAACCCAAGGAGGGGTCGCTATGAGTCAGGTCCGACTCAACGGCACATAACAACGACAACATCATGAATTTTAGTTGGTGGGAAAGGGTAATGGTATTTATTTATATATTTAGTCCAAAAATGGCTCTTAGTGGGTG